ACTACTCAACAGTTTGTGCTTTGAGTAGTTACTTGACCTCCCTGGCCCTCAGTTTCCCCACCCATAAAGTGGGGACAACAGTACCTATTTCATCAGGTGGTGGGTATGATTTAAATTGGGTAATAATGTGAAGTTCTTAAAAGTGTCTGGCTCAGAGTAAACACCATACACGTTAGGGGAAAAAAAAGCAGCGGGATATGAGGCCCCCCCCAATTTCGTTACTCCATAAACCCCTGAGTTGCTGGTAACACCTGCAGGAGAGGGGCTTCAATATGGGCTGAATTTCCAGCCAAACTGTGGAAAGTGGCTGAGATTTTAGGTAGGCAAAAAATGTTAATGTAACATTTTTGGCCCCCAAGTTCTCAGACCACTTACTTCCCTTTCTAGTCCATTGACACGCCCGCAAGCAATTCCATTCTGCCAAGAGGTGCTGGTGGTAAGCCCAAATCCAAGAAAAGGAAAGACTCCGATTTTAAGGGAACGGGGACCTGCGGAGCCACGTGAGTCACCGGGGCTCTCAGCTCAGCAGTCAGAGCGCACTCATCACTGCGTTCGAGATTAGGTGGGCTGGCCTGGGAACCGACTCACCATCATTTGAAATCGTTTCAGGGAAAATGACCCCAACACTTAAAATCCTCTGTCCTGAAGTTGTGTGATCCAGCTGTTTGCTGAAGGAGGAAGCAAAGCCGGTAGTAACTCACTACATATTTGGGCAGTGGAATGAACCCTGGAAGCTGACAAAGACGAAGAAAGTCACTGCGCCTCTCCCGACCCGCCGCCCCCTAACCCTACTCCCACTCCCACCCCTACCCCCACCCCAAATAAAGAACAGACAATTCTTCAATTATAAAGACAACCCCGGCGCCCGGGTGTCCGGCAGGGGCCGCTGCAGCCGAGCAGAACGCTGAGCCGCTCCGCCCCGCGGCCTCCTCTCCAGCCGCCGCGCCCGCCTCCTGCAGGTGCGTCCTTGCCCGCGCCGGGCCCGGGTCTCCGAGGCCTCTCCGGCTCTGGCTCCAGCTACTGGGTCCCCACCGAGCACTGCTCCCCCCGGGCTGCGCGCACAGCCCAGGGCCGGCCGCGGGCTGGCGGGCGGAGGTAGCGCTGGTCCGCGGTGCGCATGCGCAGCCCGGCCTCTGCCCTGCGGTCATGGGCTGGTGATTGGGTAGCGGTTGGAGGAGGGGATGTGGGGGATGGTGGGTGGGTACGGAGAGCTGGGAGGGAGGCACCCCGGGGGGCGGGGCGTGGGAGACTGTCTTCGGGGGCGCGAGCTGCCCCAGGTGAGCCGTGCCTCAGGTCGGGTGTGCGGTCTGGACACAGCGCCTCTAGGAGAAAGCCTGGAAGGCGCGCTCCAGGGGGACCCCGAGCTCTTAGCGGGCCAGCAGCACGTGCGGGGCCCAAGGTCATCCGGGCTCTGCGTGGGGTCGTTGCGGCTGGAGATCAGGGAGGGGGCAGGAAACGGAATTGGAAAGTAATCCCACCCAAGCGGGTGGGCTTGCGAGGCCGCTGTGCTGGGGAGCTCCACGAGGGCTCCGAACAGAGCCTCCCTTTTCAGAAAGGTCACCCTGGTCACTGCGGCAGCCAGGATGACCGAGGAAGGTGGCCGGGGTGGAGGCAGTGGGCGTGGAGAGGGGTGGGATTCCGGACGTAGTTTGAAGGTCGAGCCGTCGGGATCTGCTGAGCAGCTTGGCTATGGGGCGTACGAGAAGGGAAGGCTCAGGGCCTAGTCCCTGGGCCCGAGTAGCAGCCAGGAGGATGGTGCCCCAGTGCTTCGGGAGGAGGAGGCTTGAGGACGGCTCTGGAGCTCAGGCTTGCCCGCGTGGAGTGGAAGCTGCCTCTTGGACCCAGGGGGCGGGGAGGCCGCATGCAGTCTGGAGCGCTGGGAAGATGGGAGATCCAGAGAGGCAGGGCTAGAGGAGTAGGAGGAAAACCTGAAGGGGGTGGCGCCCGGAAACCCGGGAAAGTGATGAACTGGGTCAGAGGCCGGCTGTCAACAGATAGGAGGGTGGAGACGACCTTGAGGAAAGCAGATGATGGAACGGGCGGGAGTGGGGCCCCCTAGTAGAGACACCTGGGACTGATGTATTGCATTTATTTAGCTCATAGGCGTTCAAGAAGTATTTATTCGGAGGCTGTACAACTTTTTGCAGTTCATTGCATTATACTTAGCATGTATTATGTTTTATATAAATATGTAAATATATATTTATATATTTATGTAATTATTGACAAATTTATATATAGGGTACAATGTAGTGTTTTGATATACGTATACATTTGTAGAAAGATTAAATCAAGCTAATTGACATATCCATCACCTCACCTACTTATTTTTTGTGGTGAAAATCTACTCTCCTGGAAATACACAATACGTCATCAACCGTGGTCACTATACTGTGCAGTAGATCGCTAAAACTTAGTCCTCTTATCTAGCTAAAACTTTGTATCCTTTGACCAACATCCCTCCCTTCCCCATCTGCCCTCCCCCAGGCCCCTGGTAACCATCATTCTACTCTGCTTCTATGAGTTCAACTTTATTAGACCCCAAGTATATAAGTGAGATCATATGCTATTTGTCCTTCTCTGCCTGGCTAATTTTACTTGGCCTAATGTCCTCCAGGTTCATCCACGTTGTTGCAAATGACAGAATTGCCTTCTGTTTTAAGACTGTATAGTATTCCATTGTATATATGTGCCACATTTTCTTTATCCCGTCCTCAGTTGATAGATACTTAGTTGCTTCTGTATCTTGGTTATTGTGAATAATGCTGAAAAGAACACAGGAATGCAGATATCTCTTCAACATACTAATTTCAATTCCTTTGTGTATATACCCAGAAGTAGGATCTCTGGGTCATATGGTAATTCGATTTTTAGAGTTTTGAGGAGCCTCCATACTGTTTTCCAAAATGGCTGTACTAATTTACATTCCACCAACAGTGTACCAGGGTTCCCTGTTCTCCACGTTCTGGACAACACTTGTTGTCTTTCATCTTTTTTATAATAGCCATTCTAACACGCGTGAGGTGGTAGCTCAGTGTGATTTAACTTGCATTTCCCTGGTGATTAGCGATGTTGAGCATTTTTTCATGTATTTGTTGACCATTCATATGTCTTCTTTTGAGGAATACCTGTTCAGGTCCTTTGTCCATTTTTTAACTGGGTTATTCGTTTTGTTTTGTTTTGCTATTGAGTTTCTTATATATTTTAGATATGAGCCCCTTATCAGATGCATGGTTTGCAAATATTTTCTCCCAGTCTGTGGATTGTCTCTTTACTCTGTTAATTATTTTCTTTGCTGTGCAGAGGCTTTTTAGTTTAATGCAATCCCACATGTCTATTTTTGCTTTTGTTGCTTTTGGGGTCCTATCCAAGAAATGAGTGCCCAAACTAATACGAAGTTTTCACCTATGTTGTCTTCTATTAGTTTTACAGTTTCAGGTCTTACGTATGAGACTTTAATCTATTTTGAGTTGATTTTTGTATATGGTGTGAAATAAGGATTCAATTTTGTTATCCAGCATGTGGATATTCAGTTTTCCTGATACCATTTTTTAAAGAGACTTTCCTTTCCCTATTGTGTATTCTTAGCACCTTTGTCAAAAATCAATTGACTGTAAATACTTGGGCTTATTTCTGGGCTTTCTATCCTATTCCATTGGTTGATGTGCCCATTTTTATGCCAGTGCCATGCAGTTTTGATTACTATAGCCCTATAATATATTTTGAGATTAGGGAGTGTGATGCCTTTGGCTTTGTTCCTTTTGCTCAAGACTGCTTTGGCTATTTAGGGTCTTTTGCAATTCCATATGAACTTTAGGATTTTTTTTTCTATTTCTGTGAAAAATACTGGAATTTTGCTAGAGATTACATTGAATCTGTAGATTGCTTTGGGTAGTATGGACATTTTAACAACCATTAATTTTTCTAATCCATGAACATGGGATACCTTTACGTTTATTTGTGTCTCTTTTCTCACATCAATGTTTTATGGTTTTCAGTGTACAGGTCTTATACCTCTTTGGTTAAATTTACCTAAAGTTTTTTTTTTAATGCTATTATAAATGAAATTGTTTTCTTATTTTCTTTTTCATATAGTTTGTTGTTAGTGTATAGAAACACCACTGATTTTTATATGTTGATTTTGTATCCTGCAACTTCCCTGAATTTGTTTATTAGTTCTAACAGTTTTTTTTGGTTGGATCTTTAGGGTATTCCGTATATAAAATCATATTATCATCAAACAGGGATCATGCTGATAACATGGTCTTATATATAGAAATCTCATATATCTTATACATCTATGTCTCTGTATATTTTATATTTTATATATCCCTATATATCTCTCTGTATATCTTATATACATCTTATATATATAGATATTATATATCTATATTTTGTACATATATCTGTCTTATATATAGAAAACTTATATATAGAAAAATTCTTCCCTTCCTATTTGGGTGACTGTTACTTCCTTTCCTTGCATAATTGCTCTGGCTAGGACATCTAGTACTACACTGAATAGACATTGTGAGAGTGAGCATCATTGTCTTGTTCCTGATCTTAGAGGAAAAGCATTCAACTTTTTACTGTTGAGTATGATTTAGCTGTGAGTTTGTCATATTTGGTCTTACTGTGTCACAGTACTTTCTTTCTGCACTTACTTTTTTGAGAGTTTTTATTATGAAAGGATGTTGAATTTTGTCACATGCTTTTACTGCATCTGTTGAGGTGATGATACAGTTTTTGTCCTCCATTTTGTTAATATGGTATATCTCGTTAATTGATTTGTGTATGTTGAGCCATCTTTGCATTCCAGGGATAAATCTCACTTAATCATGATGAATGATGCTTTTAATGTGTCAGTGAATTCAGTTTGTTAGTATTTTGTTGAGGATTTTTCATCTGTGTTCATCTGAGATATTGGTCTGTAGTTTTTCTTCTTGTAACGTCCTTGGTATCAGGGTAATACTGGCCTCCTAAAATGAGTTAAGAAGTATTTCCTTCTCTTTAGTTTTTTAGAAGAGTTTGAAAAGAATTGGTATTAGTTCTTCTTTAAATATTTGGTAGAATTCAGGTCATCAGTGAAGCCGTCAGGTCCTGAGTTTTCTGTAAATTTTTTTCTCTCAAATTTCTGATATAATATTTCACTTCTGTCTTTTAGAATTGGTAGGGTGTCCCCCTTTTTCACAGAGAACATACAGGCTTTTAAAAATAATCTGTTAGGTGAGTTGCAGATTTCATGAAAAGGCATCATTAAATGACATTACTTGGATTAATGTCAGTTTATAAGAACCTGCCTAGCACCCAGAAAGCTCCCAATGACTGATCAGTGAGTTTGTTTCCTCCCCTAAGGCCTCTTTTCCCACCTGGAAGATAAAATCGAGGCAGGAGTCTTCACCCAGGGTAGTTTTCACCCCTGAGGCTAGTGGGCTGGATAACCTGAGTCCTCTCTCCTCTAACTCTTACAGTGATGCCCTGGCACCCTTCTGACATTGCTTCTAAATTTGAACAGGGTTGTAACCTTGTGGAAACTAGAACCACTGCCTGCCCTGACCCCCTAGAAAAGCAGATACATGTTGGCACAAAGGATGTTTTCAATAAAGACTTTGTAGTAGTAACCTTAAAAGACTATTTAGTAGCAAATACTAAAATGTGTTTAGACTTTTAGTCTAGTCTTAAAATACTTTGTAGTCACAAATAAAGACTAAGAAAATAGTTTTATGTTATGAACATTTATGATCTTGGGAATAATTCCAGGCATCATTGTTCTTAATTTCTTTTAAATTCTTAATGACTTACAATCCTACCTTCATGCCTGATAAAAAATATGACAGTTTATTCAGTAGTTTTTTAAAATTCTTTTACAGTAAGTGGAAATGTTTTCTAATATTTAAAATAAAAAAACCTACAGAAGAAGAAAATAATTTTCTGGATCAAATTAGAAGTCTGTATTATATTGTTATCTCCAGATTCAAATATATTAGAAAGCAGTAGTGGAGACAACCATATTCATCTTTGGGAGAAATAATTAAAGATATGTATTAAGCTCAAGATGATAGCCTAAGTAACTTCACACAGCATATAAGAAGCTTTTAGTTATGGTTAGGCAGTACTCAGAGTTTTAATCTTCACACTTTTCAAGACATGCAAGTTTAATAATTGTCATCTGTAACGATATTTTTAAAACTTCATGCCCCTAATTACTGAAGCTGGGTGATGAGAATATAAGGGTTCCCCATACTACACTGTTTATTTTTGTATATATTTAAGTTTTTCCAGATTTTAACAAAAAACCCACAAACTATAGTAACACTTCATTTGTTCCTTACTGAGTTTTCCAGGTAAATTGAAGTTTGTTAAAAGTTTATCGTGCCCATGCTAGTTGAAGGTCATGGCAATCCGTTTTCCCCAAGCTTTTTTTAAATCAAGCACTGGGGTGATATTCATGTTGGTTGGATGTCACCATTGTCACTGAGTCTCGGAGCTGCTCACCAGAGTGGCTGCTGGGGCCCATGAGTCTGTTCACTTCCCTCTAGCAGCCAGTCTGCCTGCCTTCCCTGCAGAAATGACTTTAGGCAGCCAGACAGCCCTGTCCCCTGAGGTTGTTCTGGAGACACTACACCATGTTTCTCTAACCTGTTCTCTTTTCAGTTGCAATCTTCTTCTGCAGTCTTTTTGATTGCAGAAGAGACAGGATACATTGAAAACGTGTTGACTTGCTTGCTTATTTGCAGGTGAGATTTATCATATTACTCCTTAGACACTATAAATTCACCCTTTTTATTATACAATTCTATGAGTGTTGAAAAAAATCACAAAAATATAGTAGAATTTTCCATTGCTCTAAAAATTTCTCTGCTCCCCTTCACTCTCCTGACCCCTGTCCCTGGAAACCACTGATGTGATTTCTGTACCAACAGTTTTGCCTTTTCAAAATGTCTTACAAATGGTCTCAGAACTATGTAGCCTTTTGTATCTGGCTGCTTTCACTTAGCATAATGCTTTTCTCTCTCTCTCTTTCCCTCTCCCTCTGTTTCTTCCTCTCTTTTTCTCTTTCTCTGTTTCTCCCTCACTCTTGCTTCTTGCTCTGGCCTTCTCTCCTTTCTTTGAAAGGGTCTCACTCACCCAGGCAGGGAGTACAGTGGCACGATCATGGCTCACTGCAGCCTCAAACCTTCTGGGCTCAAGTGATCCTCCTACCTCAGCCTCATGAGTAGCTGGGACCATAGACATGCACTGCCATGCCGGCTACTCTTTTGTAGAGACAGGGTCTCACTTTGTTGCCCAGGCTGGTCTCGAACTCTGGGCTCAAGTGATCCTCCTGCCTGAACCTCCCAAAGTCCTGGAATTGCAGGTGTGAGCCACCATGGCTGGCCCTTTTTTTTTCTTGTTGTTAAGCAATTTTATTTTGAAATAATTTTAGGCTTACAGAAATGTTGCAAAAATGGTACACAGAGTTCTCATATACCATTTACCCAATTTCCTCTAATGTCCACATCTTACCTAACTAGAGTGTAATGATCTAAACCAGGACAAGTATTACACCTAGACATTTACATATACAGTACTAGTAACTGATTTACAGGCTTCATTCAAATTTCGCCATTCGTCCTACAAATGTCCCCTTTCAGGTCTTGAATCCAACTGAGGATCCCATGTAGCATTTACTTGTCATGTCTCATTAGGACTTGGGACAGTTCTCCAGTTCTTATCTTTCAAAACTTCGATACTTTTCTGAAGAGTATTGGCCAGTTTTGCTGTAGAGTGTGTAGAACGTCCCTCAGCTTGAGTTTGGTGTTTTCTTATAACTAAATTGCAGTCATGAATGCCACACAGGTGATGCTTTGCCCTTCTCATTGCATCATATGAGGAGGTAGGTGGAGTTGCCATGTCTTATTACTGGTGATGTTAACTTTGATCACTTGGTTAAGGTGGTAGCTGCCAGGTTTCCTACTATAGAGTTATTATTGCATAACACTTTTAAAGATGCATTCATGCTGTTGAATGTATTAGCAGTTTGTTCTTCTTACTGCTGAAGAGTCTTCATGGCATGGATAAACCACACTTTGTTTACCCATTTATAAATTTGATGGACATTTGGTTTGCTTCTAGTCTTGGGCCTGACACTGTCTGATAGGCCTTGGTGTTCTATTGAACATAAACCATGTCACAGAGCATCAGTATCAGACAGGGCCACTCTGACCACGATGGGCCAAGACAAGAAAGAACAAGGCCGCTCAGTAATCGTGTCTGAGCGGGCAGAAACTAGAACACTGTTGAAGCCACAAAAATGACAAAACATCCTCCCATGCCACTAACGTGAGGGACTCCTGCTTCTTGGCCACTCACAGCTTTAGCCTCACTTCATTCCTTCCACCTTTTAGATGAGATCCATTACAGCATCCAGTCCAGAACAAAGCCCCACTTCCGTGAACCTCTCCCCAGCATGATCCAACACAAGCCCAAATCCTCTGATCAATCCACTCCAGGTTCCTAACAGATGCTGCAGTTCTTCATGGCGTGTTCTGTCTCTTGCAACTTGCTCGAGAGTACAAGTGTGTTCCTTGGACTGGAAGGCATTGACAATCCAAACAATATATAGACACGTATATTGAAAATCCTTGCTCAGTTCTAATCTTACATAGCGTTTCCCACCCTGTACTCAATTCTTTTTACTAATTTTTTGTGAATTCTTTTTTTTTTTAACAGCAAATGCCAGAAAGTTAAAGTATATTCTTTTTTTTTTACAAAAGTTTATTCTTAAATGTACAACAGCTCAAAGACAACACTTAATTCCAGCTATAGGTGGCAAAAGATGTTATGGCAGGGAATACAGATGTTTAAATACAAATGAAATAAAGGGTCACCACCTCCTCAGGCACAAGGAACAGCTTACTTTTTGCCGGATTCCTTAGTTCCACCCGTGGCCAAGGGCCCCTTCCCCGCGGCCTTCGCTTTTAGCTCCTCGACTTTCTTCTGCTCCTCTTTTTGTTTCTGCTTGAAAGCCTTGTCTTCCTCGTCCATCTCCTTGGCCTGCTTGTTGGGCTGTTTCAGTGGCTTCTTCTTGCCACCTTCGTGGCCGGACATGGCGCCTGCCGCCCCTTCCCCAGACCCTGCCACTGGAGTTAAGGTATATTCTTTTATCCCCTTGCCTTTCTCTTACAAAATACAATTGTGGTAAAACACATGTAACACAATGTAGCATTCTAACCATTATTAAGGGTACAGTTCAGTACAACCACATTGTTGTGCAGCTCATCCCCTGAACTCATTTCCTAAAACTGAAGCGCTACACTCATTATTTTTAAGTAAAATTTGTGTCTAGTAAAATTAACCCTTTGTTAGTATTGAGTTCTATGAGTTTTGACAGATACAATCATGTAACTAACACCATAATGAAGATATGTAACAATACCATTGCCTTCCACCAAAAAAAAAAAAAAAAAATTCCCGCATGCTCCTTTTTATTCACTCCTCCCCTTTCTGCCAACCACTGTTATGTTTTCTGCCCCCACAGTTTTGTTGGATAATCAGTGTCATTGTTCCAAATGTTGTCTTTCTCTGTGTTTGTTTTCCTTTTATAACATTCCTCAGGTATAGACAAAGATTTACTGAATGTGCCTTAAGATCCACGAGTTTCTTTGACACAATGTCATCTTAATACTATTGTCACAGTACACTTCTTCCCTTCAGAGTTTAGTTCTCAGTTAGAAATTACATTCTCATAGAAACTGTACTTTGGGCTGGGCGCGGTGGCTCATGCTTGTAATACCAGCACTTTGGGAGGCCTAGGTGGGTGTATAGCTTGAGCTCAGGAGATGAAGACCGGCCTGGCCAACAGGGTGAAACCCTGTCTCTACCAAAAATACAAAAATTAGCCAGGCATGGTGGCGTGTGCCTGTTGTCCCAGCTACTGGGGAGGCTGGGGTGGAAGGATCGCTGGAGCCCAGGAAGTCAAGGCTGTGGTGGGCCGTGATCACGCCACTGCACACCACTGCACTCCAGCCTGGGTGACGGAGCGAGACCCTGTCTGAAATAAAAGAAAGAAACTGTACTTTGGCCACAAGTTGAGAGACCTAGTGGTGGTTTTCATACTTTTTTTTTTTTTTTTGAGATGGAGTTTTCACTCTTGTTGCCTACGCTGAAGTACAATGGTACAATCTCGGCTCACTGCAACCTCTGCCTCCGGGGTTCAAGCAGTTCTCCTGCCTCAGCCTCCCGAGTAGCAGGGATTACAGGCATGCACCACAACTCCCAGCTAATATTTTGTATTTAGTAGAGACAAGGTTTCACCATGTTGGTCAGGCTGGTCTCGAACTCCTGACCTCAGGTGATCCACCCACCTTGGCCTCCCAAAGTGGTGGGATTATAGGTGTAAGCCACTGCACCTGGCTTCATACTCTTTGAAAAGCAGCAAGTTTTCAAATGAATTCTCACATCTAACCCTTTCTTGTGCATTTTAGTGGTCCTCAAACTTGAGTAGTTACTAGAATCACCTGGAAATAGATGATGGGGTCCACCCCCAGAGTTTCTGATTCAGCAGATCTGAGGCTGAGGAACCAGAGGCTGCATTTCTAACAAGATTTCAGGTGATGGCTACGCTGCTAGTCTAGGGAGCACACTTTGAGAAGCACTGCTCCAAGGCACCTCTGTACTTCTAGGAGCACTTGAGAATACAAATGGAAAACAGCCAGTTTAGAGGATGATCTGTTACTGAAGATTTTTTAAAGGATGTTCGTGTATGTGTGCATGTGTGTATAATATAATATACATGATGTGTTTCTATAATATAGAAAATATATATATTTATAAATATTTCCATATATAAAACTATTTGCTCATTGCTTCTACAATATTTGCTTTTGTGATTTTTCTAAAGGCCACCTCAAGCATTAGAACTACCAACAAACAACCCTGATGCGACCTCTCCAGATTGTCCCAAGTCGATTGATTTCCCAGCTGTATTGTGGCCTGAAGCCTCCAGCCTCTACACGAAACCAGATTTGCCTGAAAATGGCTCGGCCAAGTTCAAGTAAGTCATTCTTACCCATTGCCTCACCTGCAGCCAAATGTGAAGTACCTGAAAGTCCTACACTTTGAGGGGGATGTCTCTATCAAATTAGGTATTGGGCAAGGTTTTGGAGAAAGCCACTCTGTCCTCTTCTCTTTTTTTTTTTTTTGACACAGAGTCTTGCTCTGTCGTCAGGCTGGAGCGCAGTGGTGTGATCTTGGCTCACTGCAACCTCCGCCTCCTGGGTTCAAGTGATTCTCTTGCCTCAACCTCCCAAGTAGCTGGGACTACAGGCGCCCGCCACCACACCCAGCTAATTTTTGTATTTTTAGTAGAGATGAGGTTTCACCACGTTGGCCAGGATGGGCTGGATCTCTTGACCTCGTAATCTGCCTGCCTCGGCCTCCCAAAGTGCTGGGATTACAGTCATGAGCCACTGCGCTCGGCCTGTCCTCTTCCCTTTTAGGTAACCCCTTCTGTGGCACCTTCAGAGCCCATATCCTTATACTCAGGTCCATCTAGGACATTTTATTGCTTCTGCCAGAATATTTGCATTTAAGCTTTTTACACATGTTTTGTACTTTAAAATCCTTATCTCTCTGCAGGGGAGGAAAACTGGTATTATCCTACAGGGCAGTATGAGGTTAAATTTTCTCCTGGACAGAAATACTTTGTAGCTCTACATGGCAAAAACCTACAGATTAACCTATCTGGGCCCTTAGTCTATAGTGAATATAAATTCTAACAAGTGTTTATAATTCAGTGACTCTTAGGTGGGCCTGTTTAGCAGTGCTTCAGAATGAAACTGAAAGGCCAAGCTGAATTCTTTTTGCTTCATTTTCAACTTTTGGATAACTCTTCTGTTCAGGAATAATAACTCCTGCTTCCATTTTGCCCCAGGAATGGAAAGGAACCCAAAGAACCCAGTTCCACTCCACTGTGCCACCCCTTGGTGTTCCCAGCGTGCAGAGCAGGCTGCTAGAGTCTGTGGCGGGATTCAGAAGTGTGTGCCTGACCTTGGTTAAAAGTGGGCCGCTGACGTTGGAACCACAAAACATGCTGGCGTGTTTTCCTTTAACCATTGGGAAATGTCTGTCTTTCTTTTTTTTTTTTTTGGAGATGGAGTCTTGCTGTGCTGCTCAGGCTGGGGTGCAGTGGCACGTTCTTGGCTCACTGCAACCTCCACGTCCTAGATTCAAGCGATTCTCCTGCCTGAGCCTCCAGAGTAGCTGGGATTACAGGTGCCCACCACCATGCCAGGCTAATTTTTGTATCTTTAGTAGAGATGGGGTTTCACCATGTTGGCAAAGCTGGTCTCAGGTGATCTGCCCACCTCAGCCTCCCAAAGTGCTGGGATTAGAGGCATGAGCCACCATACCTGGCCTTTTTTTTTTTCTTTTTTAAGATTTCACACCACATTAACATTACTATGTTTTACATCCTGTTTCCTAAAAACCAAATATACATTGACTTTTTTAATATGTTTCTAAAAGTTGCTTTAAGGAGTACCTTAATAGAAGTCACTCTGATCTAGAAATATATTCATCAGGAGGATGACAGTTTCCATTTGGAATAGTTGAAAGACCTTTGGGGCTGGAGGGAGTTTTAGGGGTAGACTCTGAAGTCCTTAAGGATGTTCCTATGGGTTGAGCCCAGGATTCATACAGATAGTTCCTAGAAAACTATGTGCACGCTTTTTATTAAGCATCTTGTTCTTTCAAGAAATTACATCAGGTTAGAAACTGGAATCCACCCAGATCACGTTTGTAATTTTTCCAAATGCTTCCTGTTTGGAGAACGTTAGTCTGCCTGCAGTAGGCCTTATCTATCTGCTGATAGAGAGCAGCCTATCTCTGGAAGGGATGTGAGTTCAGGCAGAGCTTTAGTGTGATTGGGGGTGTAGTTGGGTTGGGTGCACCTCACAAGAATGGCGTGTTGTGACTGCCTTTTGTTATTCCTTTTTTTTAAATTTTTTTAACTTTTTTATTATTTATTTTTTATTATAATTTAAGTTCTAGGGTACATGTGTACAACATGCAGATTTGTTACATAGGTATACAAGTGCCATGTTGGTTTGCTGCACCCATCAACTTGTCATTTACATTAGGTATTTCTCCTAATGCTATCCCTCCCCAAGCCCACCACCCCCAGACAGGCCCCAGTGTGTGATGTTACCCACCCTGTGTCCATGTGTTCTCATTGTTCAATTCCCACTTATGAGTGAGAACATGTGGTGTTTGGTTTTCTGTCCTTGTGATAATTTGCTGAGAATGATGGTTTCCAGCTTCATCCATGTCTCTGTAAAGGACATGAACTCATCCTTTTTTATGGTTGCATAGTATTCCAGGTGTATATGTACCACATTTTCTTAATCCAGTCTGTCACTGATGGACATTTGGGTTGGTTCCAAGTCTTTGCTATTGTGACTAGTGCCACAATAAACATACATGTGTATGTGTCTTTATAGTAGCATGATTTATAATCCTTTGGGTATATACCCAGTAATGGGATGGCTGGGTCAAATGATATTTCTCGTTCTAGATCCTTGAGGAATCGCCACACTGTCTTCCACAATGGTTGAACTAGTTTACAGTCCCACCAACAGTATAAAAGCATTCCTATTTCTCCACATCCTCTCCAGCATCTGTTGTTTCCTGACTTTTAATGATCGCCGTTCTAACTGGTGTGAGATGGTATCTCATTGTGGTTTTGATTTGCATTTCTCTGATGACCAGTGATGATGAGCATTTTTTCATGTGTCTGTTGGCTGCATAAATGTCTTCTTTTGAGAAGTGTCTGTTCATATCCTTTGCCTATTTTTAGATGGGGTGTTTTTTTCTTGTATATTTGATTAAGTTCTCTGTAGATTCTGGATATTAGCCCTTTGTCAGATGAGTAGATTGCAAAAATTTCCTCCCATTCTGTAGGTTGCCTGTTCACTCTGATGGTAGTTTCTTTTGCTGTGCAGAAGCTCTTTAGTTTAATTCGATCCCATTTGTTTATTTTGGCTTTTGTTGCCATTGCTTTTGGTGTTTTAGTCATGAAGTCTTTGCCCATGCCTATGTCCTGAATGGTACTGCCTAGGTTTTCTTCTAGGATTTTTATGGTTTTAGGTCTAACATTTAAGTCTTTACTTCATCTTGAGTTAATTTTTGTATAAGGTGTAAGGAAGGGACCCAGTTTCAACTTTCTACATATGGCTAGCCGGTTTTCCCAGCACCCTTTATTAAATAGGGAATCTTTTCCCCCGTGCTTGTTTTTGTCAGGTTTATCAAAGATCAGATGTTTGTAGATGGGTGGTGTTATTTCTGAGGACTCTGTTCTGTTCCATTGTGACCGTCTTAATTTCTCTCAGCGTTGTGCTGCCAAAACATGAATAGAGCCAGAGAGGAAAAAGCCTACGCTTCTTCTGAGTTTATTTTTATCAGGAGTCCATGGCAGGGAAGAGAGGAAGGGAAGGGGAGGAGGGGTTGAGCCTTTATTGATAGTCTCTATCCTAGACTGGGCGTAGTGTGTGGCTCTGGGCTTATGAGGATGAGGAAGTCCCTTCCCTGCTTAGAGGGAGTCAGCCATACATGAGAAGCCAGTGGGATGCTCCTTACAGCTGGGATACAAAATGAGGCCACATTCGGTTTAATATTCAAGCTCACTATCTCTGAGCCCCCATCCCACTGTTTCTTCCTTGCCTGCTTCCTGCCTGTCCCCGGTTCCATCTCTCAGGGGAGGGTTAGCCTCCCCTCATTCATTCCATCCGAGGGTTAGCCTTGGTTGCCATTCCTTCAAGAGAGGAAGGTCAGGAAGCTTGCTTAGTGAGCTGAGGAATTCAGTTCCACACTTGCTGGAATCCTTAGTGCTTTAATACAGGTTGGTCATCCTTGGAAGACCTCCATATCCAGGGTGGGGCATTCCTGGCTTCATTCAGTGTCTTAGGCCTGCAGTGGGCAGCGAGGTGCAGCATTTGCTTCTCCAGGGGGAGGGCAGAAAAGGGGCTCTCTCTTCTCCTCCTGGCAGGCTATGTTCAGTGTTATACCCCTTAATTCTGGCTTTCCAGGGCCACGCTGCTGACCTTACGAGGGCCTGCAGAGCTGTAGTGCCTAGGAGAGAAGGGGAGACAAGCTGTGTCCCCAGCCGACCTCCCTTTCCCAGTTTCTGCTGCCCAGGAGACCCCATCATGAGTTCCAAGTCTGGCTCCTGCTTGTTGTCCTAGGATGAGGACATTTGTTTCAGGGGAAAAACTCCCACCTTGTGATCCATGTAAAGTGCTTGGCATAGCACTTGGGGTGCAGGGAGCCCTCACCACCATAGCTGCTGTCCCTGTGGGTCTGTGTTCAGGCAGGAGAACTGCCTGGAATTGCAGGACGGGAGGGCGAGCCATGGTCTGTGTCCACAATTACTTCGTCTCGTGTTATTCTCTGTCTTCAGTTCCCTTTGCTACCCCAAGTCTCTGGCAGTGTCCTGTTGAAAAGTTTGGCTCTTATTTGAGTTGTCAAGGGGAAGGCCATGTGTCCTTGCCCTCACCTTCAGTCGCTGTGCTGAGGGAAGCTGAAATTAGCATGATCCGCAAAGGGAAGGTGAACTTGGGGAGGAAGGGTAGGCTTTGGGGTCCAGTGGGCCTCAACTCAGCACTCACACAAACGTACAGGCTTGTTTTTACTTTTGTGAAGGAAGATGGATTCCTTCGCACTAGGCTTTTTTAATCTTCGTAATATGCCTGCTCTAGGAAAGGCATTACTGTGCACCTCAAAGAGCCAAGGAAAGTGAGGACAGAGAAAGGTACATAATGTGCATAAGATCATACATTTGGTTGGGAGGCATAGCTGCGGTGCAGAGCCAGCTGTGTGTGCCCAAAGCCCCTGCTTCTTTAAAACACTGTACACTCACCCAGCAGGTCACATGGGATGGTGTTTTCATGGTACAGGAAAGATGTTTGTGTATCTTAAAGTATAACTTCACACTGGGTCAAGTTTCAAGATACAGACAATTGATATGGGATACAAATGTCCAAATGGTACACCGGATTGATAAAGATTTTACTCTGTTTAGGTATGGCAGATTTTCGGAAGTGTTTTGCAAAAGCAAAGCACATAGTCATCATCTCAGGCGCAGGTGTTAGTGCGGAAAGTGGTGTTCCGACTTTCAGAGGAGCTGGAGGTTACTGGAGAAAATGGCAAGCCCAGGTTTGTAATGTTTCCAGAACATGAAAAGCCTCTGTCGAATGAAACCGTAACAGAGTTTGACTCAAATCCTGTTCCTATCCCTGAAACCCCGGGGAAATGTTTTTAAGTTAACTGTGACCCTATTGTCTCATTGATTTTTGGCATAAACACAAAGTTCCTGTGATTAAGATCAAAATTTAAGCAAGGCTGCCACTTTCCTTTCTAGATATGTATGGATTGCATTTATTCAGATAACAGTTTCTCCTAATAATTGTGTTAAAGTTAAATCAGAAAACTTTGGTCAGCATCATTCATTACTTTTCTAAAGTTATTGAACTTAAGTATGACACAAAGTTTCTGTGAACTTTTCATGTTAAAACTAATGTTGATTATTGAAGGGTTAGGATTTGATATTCAAAAATTTATAGGAAGGCCTTCAGAATGCAAATTCTGTGAAGGTGCGGATTTTTTAATTCAATTTTTATGGAGATCTAATTTACATAAAGTAAAAGTCACCAGTTTTAAGTGTACAATTTAATGAGTTTTAATAAATGGACATAGTTGTATAGCCAGCACCATAATCACAATGTAGAACATTTCTGTCCCTCCAGAACATTCCTTCATGGCCTTTTGCAGTCTGTGCTCTCCCATCCCACTGGCTCAGGAAATCCCTAGCTTTGGAAGACAAGGAATTGTTTGTTTGTTTATTTGTTTGAGACAGAGTTTTGCTCTTGCTGTCCGGCTGGAGTACAATGGCGTGATATCAGCTCACTGCAACCACCACCTCCCAGGTTCAAGCGATTCTCCTGCCTCAGCCTCCCGAGTAGCTGGGATTACAGGCATGCACCGCCATACCCAGCTAATTTTTGTATTTTTTAATAGAGACGGGGTTTCACCATGTTGGTCAGGCTGGTCTCAAACTCCTGACCTCAGGTGATCCACCCATCTTGGCCTCCCAAAATGCTGGGATTACAGGCATGAGCCACCATGCCCGGCCTCTGTTTGTTTTATTCATTGCACTGTCTCCAGCTCCCAGAACTCTGGCACATTATCAGTGCTTAATGGATTTTCATTGGCTGAACAAAAGCAGTCATAAATAAGTACTGCAATACATGTCTTCCATGGTTAGTAGCTCATTTCTCATTGAACGCAGAGTTCGTGAACCTGCCCCTTCCTTCTTCTCCTGAACATCTGAGCCTGGCACATGTTTGGGTGTTCTGCCTCCTGCCTGCTGCCCTCTGGGTGAAGGGTGGGGGTCATCACCTTAAAGGTGAAGTGGAGGAGAAGGAGAGCAGAGAACATTAGGGGCCAGGAAGAAAGAGGGGCCACAGGGCATTCCCTGGATTAGCAGCAGCAGAGGGTGGGAGGTCAGAAGGTGTGGGAGGAGCTTGGAGGAGGGGCGCTTAGTTGTGTCCAAAAAGGCTCAGAGTTTGTGGACAAAGCAAAGAAGTCGATAGAATGCATTTGACTCCAGTACCCTCCCAGGGACACCTGTGGACATGTTGCTGTGCCGCCTATAAACTGCTCCAGGCCGTGTGTTCTAGGTGGAGAGCAGGGTCGGTGTGGGCCAACCCCTCATTTGGCAAAGACTGATATTGCCACCAAGCAGAGGGGCCTTTACAGTAGAATGAAACGCACATGTGTTCAATGTAGGAAGCGTCTCCTTGATAGAGAAGCCATACTTCTTTTTAAAATTAATGTTATTGAGGCAGAATTTCCTTAGAATAAAATGCACCCACGTGCATTGTGTGTACAGGTTGATGAGTTTTGACAGGTGCCTGCACCTGCATAACACCCCCACCTCCACTGTCAAGAAACAGAAATTTCAGTGATCGCTGAAAGTTCCCTGTGCCTTTCCCTGCCAGCTTCCGGCCCCAGACAACCCCTACTCGGCTCCTTTACCAGAAAGAGGTTTGTTTCTCCCAGAATCATATTTAAAGTATATGTATTTTATCTATTCTGTTTATATATAATGTACACTTTTTATATGTAGCCGTGTATGTGTTTAGCTGTGTGTGTAGTTGCATGTATGTGTGTAGCTGTGTATGTATGATGTGTGTATTTCTGTGTGTGTAGGTGTGTGTGGTTTTGTGTGTAGGTGTATGTAGATGTGTATAATTGTGTATGTTTAGTTGTGTGCATATTAACAGATACGTGTGGTTGTATATGTGTATATTTAGTTGTGTGTATGTTGTGTAATTGTATGTTGTGTGTGCGCAGTTGTGTGTATGCAGATGTGTGTAGCTGTGTATGTAGATGTGTGTGTATGTTTAGTTTGTGTAGTTGTGTATGTAGTTGTGTGTATGTTTAGTTGTGTGTATAGTTGTGTATGTAGTTGTGTGTATAGTTGTGTGTATAGTTGTGTATGTAGTTGTGTGTATGTTTAGTTGTGTGTGTGTATAGTGTGTATGTAGATGTGTGTAGTTGTGTGTATATGTTTAGTTGTATGTATGCAGTTGTGTGTATGTGTGTAGTGTGTGTATGTTTAGCTGTGTGTGTAGTGTGTGTGTGCAGTTGTGTATGTAGATGTGTGTAGTTTGTGTAGTAGTGTATGTGTGTTTAGCTGTGTGTGTACAGTTTATATGTAGATGTGTGTAGTTGTGTGTGTTTAGTTTGTGTGTGTAGTTGTGTGTATGTGTGTATAGTTGTGTGGATGTAGATGTGTGTAGTTGTGTGTGTATCTTTAGTGTGTGTGTAGTTATATGTATGTAGTTGTGTGTATGTAGATGTGTGTAGTCCTGTGTATGTCTAGTTGTATGTGTGTGCAGTTGTGTGTCACTGTGTGTAGTGTGTATGTATGTCGAGTTGTGTGTGTGGTTGTGTGTATGTGTTTAGTTGTATATGTGTAGATGTGTATGGATGTAGATGTGTGTAGTCATGTGTATGTCTAGTTGTGTGTATGTGTGTGCAGTTTGTGTGTCGACGTGTGTAGTGTGTATATATGTTGAGTTGTGTGTGTGGTTGTGTGTATGTGTTTATTTGTATGTGTGTAGATGTATGTGGATGTAGATGTGTGTAGTCGTGTGTATGTCTAGTTGTGTGTATGTGTGTGCAGTTGTGTGTGTCGATGTGTGTAGTGTGTATGTATGTTTTTTGAGTGTGTGTTGTGTGTATATGTTATTATTTGTAAATGTTGTTATGATGTGTTGTGGATTGTATGATGTGTGTATGTCGTGTTGTTATTGTTTTCTATGTTGATGTGGTTGCAGGTTTGTGTGTGTGTCGATGTGTGTAAGTGTTGTAGTTATGTTTGTGTGTTGTGTGTTGTGTTATTTGTTGTTATTTGTATGTGTGTAGATGTGTGTGGATGTAGATGTGTGTAGTCGTGTGTATGTCTAGTTGTGTGTATGTGTGTGCAGTTGTGTGTCAATGTGTGTAGTGTGTATGTTGAGTTGTGTGTGTGGTTGTATGTGTTTATTTGTATGTGTGTAGATGTGTGTGGATGTAGATGTGTGTAGTCGTGTGTATGTCTAGTTATGTGTATGTGTGTGCAGTTGTGTGTGTGTCAGTGTGTAGTGTGTATGTATGTTGAGTTGTGTGTGTGTGTGGTTGTATGTGTTCAGTTGTATGTGTATAGATGTGTGTGGTTGTGTGTGTTGTATGTGTGTAGATGTGTGTGGATGTAGATGTGTATAGTCGTGTGTATGTCTAGTTATATGTATGTGTGTGCAGTTGTGTGTGTGTCGATGTGTATAGTGTGTATGTATGTTGAGTTGTGTGTATGTGTTTAGTTGTATGTGTGTAGATGTGTGTGGATGTAGATGTGTGTAGTTGTATGTGTGTGTGTATAGCCATAGCTATAGTTATCAAAACTGAGTTTCTCAACCATGGTCATTAGACTTCAATGGGCATTTTGCATTTCATGTTTTCCCTGGGTGTAGGTCAAAATGAGATCCACTTCATATGTTTTAGGGCTCCATGAAAAAGGGGATTTGACCCAAAATACCTTCCTGCATATTATTTTACTTCATCTTCACAACTTACTTGGGAGATAAATGGGACAGGTTGCGTCATCCCTGCTTTGTCACTAAGGAAATTGACTGATTTCTCCAAGACCCCTGGGCAGTCCCAGGATGGGGACGTAGGCTGGTACCCAGGCCCTGCCTGGCATCTGCCATGTTGTTTGAACCTAGTGCTGCCATCTCCAGCCTGCACCCTCCTGACGCTGCCTATCTCTGCCTTAGGGAGGAAGGGCCTGTGCCCCAGAGTTCAGCATCCTGGCTGCCCCTGCCTCCCTCACTCCCGCCTCCTCTCCCACCCCCAGGACCTGGCGACTCCCCTGGCCTTTGCCCACAACCCGTCCCGGGTGTGGGAGTTCTACCACTACCGGCGGGAGGTCATGGGGAGCAAGGAGCCCAACGCCGGGCACCGCGCCATAGCCGAGTGTGAGACCCGGCTGGGTAAGCAGGGCCGGCGAGTCGTGGTCATCACCCAGAACATCGATGAGTTGCACCGCAAGGCTGGCACCAAGAACCTTCTGGAGATCCATGGTGAGAGACCCCCAGCCTCACGTTCAGGGAACCAGCTTTAAAACACCTGTCCTGCCATTTCAGCATCACCCCTGGTGCCTTCCCTCCCTCCCTGGTGGACACCTGTCCCGTTCCCATAGGATGCTGTGGCATTTCCTTTGGAGACATGTTAGTGCCCCGTGGCACCTGGGCAGCTCCCTTTAGGCATAGGAGGAACCTCTGACCCATAGCATTATTTACTTAGCAGTTCCTGCATCCTCGCTGCTCAGTATGGTCTGAGAGCCAGCGACATTCGGCATCCTCCAAGAACTTGTTAGAAATGCGGAATCTCAGGCCCCATAGGACCCACCGAATCAGAATCTGCATTTTCCCATGAGCCCAGGTGGCTGGTGTGCTACTGGAGGAACGCTGGGGTGCACAGCCACATGACCCCTTCCTTTGTGGAGGGGCACGGTGCTGTGAGACAGCGGCCTCAATGAGCTGAGGAACAGGAGGCCTGGCTCATTGGACAGCCAGGGCTTGAGCAGGATTGGGCAGGGGCAGACTGCAGCATCTTGGGGTCTCCTTTCACTCTCCCTTCATCCTGGTGGTCACTCCCCACTGAGGCTGCACTTCCGCCCCGCCCTGGAGCCTCAGAGAGCTGCCAGCTCAGTGCTGGACACCACCAAACCCAGCAAGCCTGTGATGTTGGTGGAGTTTGTCTGGGGTCCCTCTGGGCTCCTTCCTCTGTCCTGGGTGACCCCTTACTCCTTCACTCTTGTCTTCTGGTTCCTCCCTTCTTTGCTGTCACCACAAGTCTAATACATCCAGCTGTCCACAGTCGTAATGGGCAAACTAGGGTTTCTCCCAAGGCCATTTGCATTTAAAGAGTCTGCATTCAGATTCAAGGAATGCATTTCGTATTTTTTAAGCATTTATTTCTCTTAATTTTATTCAATTAATTAATTTACTTTTTTTAGCGATGGGGGTTTCACTCTTGCCCAGGCTGGGGTGCAGTAGCTCGATCATAGCTCATTGCAGGCTTGAACTCCTGGCCTTAAGGGATCCTCCCACCTCAGCCTCCAGAGTAGCTGGGACTACAAGCACATGCCACCATGCCCAGATAATTTTTTAAATTTTTGTGGAGACAGTGTCTCACCATGTTGTCCAGGCTGGTCTCGAACTCTTGGCCTCAAGCAGTCCTCCTTCCTCAGCCTCCCAAAGTTTTGGGATTACAGGCGTGAGCCATTGCGCCAGCCAAGAATGCATTTCTAAGTGTAGCATTTCCAGAGGCAGTGCACCAGTGGGGATGTTTGTTTTTGCATGTGTGTGGTAAAGCTGCCTGCGTTTACTTAGGTCACCCCAATAAGGAAAGCGAGGCATTACTCATTTCGACTCCGCCTCTCTTTTGTTTGCCAGGAACAGCCAGCCACCTATTAACTGAGCATCTTTTTGGTACCTACATCTACTGGGTCTGAGCCACTTTCCACGTGCCTCTGCTCATTTCCCTGCAATGTCAGAATGTGGCCTATGTCATCAGCATAAAACCGAGATGACAATGCCTATCTTACAGAATTGTTGTAAGGATTAAATAAGATCATATATGTGTGTTAGGACGTTTTTTAGTTTCAAATGATGAGAACTCTCTTCTAACTTAGGTTAAAAAAAATCAATGGCCTCTTCAGTCTGATGAAGGGTGTTTTAAGATGCATCGTGTTTTTAATGTGGCATTTAGAATATAATCTTCCTAAACCATGATATACTATTTTATTATCCCTTAGAATTGTTATTTTTTACTTAGAGAGCTTGTTAAAATGAGTATAATAAACTGGTCCAAATATTTCTCATTATCTAGCGCTTCTGAATTCTGAGTGACTCAGGGCATGGATGTCTGTGTTTTCCATGCAGTTTCATGCTCTGTGCCTCAGGACATGGATGATGCGGCCTTTCCAGAGAGAATGCCCCTCTGTTAGAGCTGCGATTCTCGTCCAAGCTCCTGGCACACCTTCCGCAGGTTCGCTATTGGGCCTGACATACTCTTACCAAGAGGCCATCAGTGGAAAGGCTGTAGACAACAGCCAAAACCCGCTTTCCTTCCTGAAGCGGCCCTTGAATGGTTTGTTGGTGGAAGGATCCAGGGGCTGAATCTGCCCGGTCAGGCCACGGAGAGTAACAACCAAGTCACTCCACTTTTCAGTGTTCTCCTTCAGTAAGTCTGTGCAAGCATGATGGTGATGTCACACTCACATCTGGCCAGTAGCAATTGCAGGACACATCTGAATTTCAGAGATGTGAAAATGGGGAAAAATGTCTATACTAAAACTGACAAAACCGAGGAGCCTGGGGGTGCAGCTTGTGTCATCTTTCCTCCTGGCCCCTGGCCCCTGGCCCCCTCCTTCTCTCAGCTTTACTCACTCTTTGAGGTGGCCTCCCTTCTCCCTCTGCAATTGATCTGCCTCCACGTGCCAGGGGAGAGTGCCTCCGACAGTGCCAGGGGAGAGTGCCTCCGACAGCGCCAGGCTCTCCAGCTCAGCCACCTGCTCAGAAAATAAACCTCTGGGTGGGCTTGCTTGGTCCACACGCCCACCCTTCTGACCAAACACGACTGCAGAGGGATGGGCCCCACATGGGGGCCGTGTGGAGCATGTGGCTGAACTTGTATTTGGGATGTGACCCACAGCCCTATTGGCTCAGCACGCGAGAGAGCAGGGATGGTGGTCCCCAAGGAAGGACTCGGGGGCAGAACGGAGCAGCGCATGTCCACTGTGGTTGAAAGTGCTCTGCATGGTACCAGGTGCCTAGTACCCATTTCATAAACTCTGGCCCCCTTCAGCTCAATAAGTAGTCATTAGTATTAACAATTACTTTTTTCACTTAGTAGTTGATTACTTATTTATTGAGGTGCTTTTGTATAAAAGATTGAAGCTTTCTGAAATCAAAGTTAAGATTTTGTAAACATATCCCATGCCGTTGAACCTTTGTCAGTCATATCAATAAATCATGCCCTTAGATTTACGTTGAGCTCCCTCTACCCTATTGGCCACTTCTGCCCACTTGAACACCACTCCAAGGTCATCTGACGGCATGTTAGTCATGGAGTTAGTTATTTTTCCTCCAGATTATAAAGTCCTTGAGGGCATATGTTCTTGACTGGCTTAAGAGTACTGCATGCCTCTGTTTCCTATGAAAGCTAGGGTAGGCCCATTTGCTAAAATGAAGTATGGCTCAGTGTGGCGGTGCACACCTATAGTCCCAGCTGCTCAGGAGGCAAAGGTAGGAGGATCGCTCGAGCCCAGGAGTTGGAAGCTGCAGTGAGCTATGATCGTACTACTACACTCCAGCCTGGGTAACTGGGTGAGACCAGAAAATGAAATGAAGTGTGGAAAGTGAAGTATCTTACACCCTTTCAGATGTGGAGATGATTGCTCTTGATTAGACTAAATTCTGGATTTCCTTCATATGTATTTTTCAGGTAGCTTATTTAAAACTCGATGTACCTCTTGTGGCGTTGTGGCTGAGAATTACAAGAGTCCAATTTGTCCAGCTTTATCAGGAAAAGGGTAATTATACCACACTACAGAATAAGTATATGTTGTTTTCTCCTTTAGGTCAGACATAAATGTGAGGAGATTGAACATTCATCAAAGATTCCCATTGATATGAGAAATAAGACTAAATACAAGGCTGGGTGCGGTGGCTCATGCCTGTAATCCCAGCATTTTGGGGTTACAAGGTGGGAAGATTGCTTGAGTTCAGGAGTTTAAGATCAGCCTGGGCAACATAGTGAGAAACCTGTCTCTACCAAAAAAAAAAAAAAAAAATTAGCTGGGTATGGTGGCACATGCCTGTAGTCCCAGCTACTAGAGAGGCTGAAGTGGGAGGGTTATTTGAACCTGGGAAGTCGAGGCTGCAGTGAGCTGAGATCATGCCACCGCACCACAGCCTGGGTGACAGGGAGACCCTGTCTCAAAAAAAAAAAACAAATATAGCCTTGTGATAAAATAAATATTTTGCTCACAACTTACAGTGTTAAGTGAAAACCACAGGGTCCTGAATTTATACACACATGAGTTTGTATAACTGCATATAGTTAAAAGACCAGAAGAAAATATAACAAAATATTAACAAGGAATATCAGGAGTGGAGGGATTATGGGTAATTTTTAATTTCTTCTTTATATCTTTCTGAATTTTCCTACATTTCTATGATGAACAAGCACTATTATTACAATGAGGAAAACATTTGAGGGTAGACACAATATTGAGGAAAATTCCATTTCAAAACAGTATAAATTATATAAGGAATGTATAATGTCATTGCAGAGGATACAAATGATGATGATGTATAAAGGTAAACATGAAGTTCCCTCTTAGCACACCCAGCTACTCCAGCCCTCCCTACACACGAATTCTCTCACTGGCAGTACAACCACTGGTGATTTTTTTTTTTTTTTTTTTTTTTTCTGAGACAGAGTCTTGCTCTGTTTCCCAGGCTGGAGTACAGTGGCACAATCACACTTTACTGCAGCCTCCAACTCCTGGGCTCAAGCAATCCTCCTGCCTTAGCCTCCCAAGTAGCTAGGACTATAGGCACGCACCACACTGAGCTAATTTTTGTATTTCTGGTAGAAATGCAGTCTCACTATATTGCCCAGGCTGGTCTTGATCTTCTGGCCTCAAGCAGTCCTCCCACTCTGGCCTCACCAAATGCTGGGATTATAGGCATGAGCCACTATGTCCAGTACCACTGGTAATTAATGGCCTGGGGTCCTTCCTTCTAATGCCCTTCCAAGTGAGCATGTATTAATTAGGAGTTTTACACCACATACTACCAGGCAAATATACAAACTGAGTTATGTTGTTTCTTTATTTTTTCTTATGCCAATAACAATCTTTCTTTTCTAATATTATTTACTTCAGTGCTCCAGAACCTGGAACTCAAGATGCCAGCATCCCAGTTGAGAAACTTCCCCGGTGGGTAAAAAGCTCTGATTTGTACCAGTGTTCCTGGTTACAAAGAAATAGACATCAAAATCTAAACATGTATTTGGCAAGATGCCTCTTAAATCAAATGCACAAATGTAAAAACCAGCCTTGACCTCTAAGACCAAAAGTGAAAGGACAAAGGATGAACCAAATTAGGATGAAAAAAATGATTTCTTTCCAACCCCTTTTTGCTTTGTGTTCTGGCGGGATCATTTCAGGTCGGGAAAGTTTCTGAAGCTGTTGTGTGACAGGCGGTTACCCAGTGTACAGAAAGCATATGGGCTGACCTGTAACTGGTCAAATAACATCACTGGCATTATTAATCCATGGTTAAGGAGGCAATGAATAAGGAGGCAATGAAAGGACGTGAATAGGAGAGGTTACAGGACCCAACAGAATGTTCATAGATTTTTAAAAAAAAAAAAAAAAAGGAAGTTTTGATGCCAATTTTTCAAAACCAGACATTAAAACAGCACTTCTATAATCTGTAATTGGATCAGAGGGTTTTTTTTGCGGGTTTTTTTGTTTTTTTGTTTTTTTTTTTGAGATGGAATCTCACTCTGATGTCCAGGCTGGAGTGCAGTGGCACGATCTTGGCTCACTGTAACCTCCGCCTTCTGGATTCAAATGATTCTCTTGCCTCAGCCTCCCGAGTAGCTGGGATTACAGGCGCCCGCCGCCACGCCCGGCTATTTTTTGTGTTTTTGGTAGAGACGAGGTTTTGCCATGTTGGCCAGGCTGGTCTTGAGCTCTTGACCTCAGGTGATCCACCCACCTCGGCCTCCCAACATGCTGGGATTACAGGCAGGAGCCACCGTGCCTGGCTGGATTAGAGTGTTTTTAAGGTAAAATAAAACAGCACTTCTAAAAGTGTTTCATAGAACATTAATTTAATATTACGTTGAGAGACATTACTTTATAAAAACATGTTAGGCACTCAAATACAGAAACGTTAGACTAAACAAAGTTAAAATATGTTTGCTCTACTGCAGGACTTTTCAGAGCATTTATTCCACATTGCTGCCTTCTAAAAAGTGGTTATAAAATGTATGTTAATGCTTTACTGACTTATTTAACCACAGAACCTTTTAAATTTTCCTTATGAGGGTTTTAATTGCTAAATATTAAAGTTTTCTTCTGAAGGAATAGGGAGACCTGGAGGACTTCTATGATGCAGGAGATTACGATGATGAAAATGGTGTTTGAGGGATGATTTTAGGAGGTGTATAGAAGGTGACCCTGAGGTAGGAGGGAGTGAAAGAAAGAGATTTTTAGTAATGGATACAGGAAAGCTGACTACATACGGGGCCAGAGAGACGTGAACCTGAGAGCACATGAAAGGTCATGGATGAAATTAGGGGATGCTTGGGGTGGGAGGCAAACCTGAGTCCAGTATGACTCCCAGGTCTGGGTGGCTGTGAGCACAAGTGTGAGCATAATGAAGGAACCGGGAAAGCTTAGCTGAAACAATCTGTCAGCACATCAGGTACACAGAGACAAGATAAAAAACAAGGACAGTTCGGCAGGGCGCGGTGGCTCACGCCTGTCATCCCAGCACTTTGGGAGGCTGAGGCAGGCATATCATGAGGTCAGGAGTTCGAGACCAGCCTGGCCAATATAGTGAAACCCCATCTCTACTAAAAATACAAAAATTAGCCGGGTGTGGTCGCACACGCCTGTAGTTCCAGCTACTCGGGAGGCTGAGGCAGGAGAATGGCGTGAACCCGGGAGGCGGAGCTTGCAGTGAGCTGAGATCGCGCCACTGCACTCCAGCCTGGGCTGCTAACAGAGTGAGACTCCGTCTCAAAAAAAAAAAAAAAAGGACCATTAAACCTGATGCTTCACATGCAAGGCAAGTTTATATAGGCTGGGAGGAGGGTGTAGGGAATAAGAGGCATCAGAGGTGAACCATCTGGACGTACTGGGTTTGGGGTAGCCCCGGGCCTCCCTCCGATCCAGCTGGGCAGACTTTGCTCGGGCTTGGCTCAAGGATCCCATTCTTCCAGGTGTGAAGAGGCTGGCTGCGGAGGCTTGCTGCGCCCTCACGTCGTGTGGTTTGGGGAAAACCTGGATCCTGCCATTCTGGAGGAGGTTGACAAAGAGCTCGCCCGCTGTGATTTATGTCTAGTGGTGGGTCACGGCTTTCCCTAACCCCAAGACAGGACTGGAGTTTGTTATTTTTTCCTTCCCCCTCTCCTCTTTTCCTTCCTCGCTCCCTTGCTTCTTTCCTTCCCGCCTTCTCTCCCCCCTCCCCTTCTTCCTTTCCTTAAAATGTATGTTGAGAGGTCTTTGTGGCATCCTATAGAAAAACTGAGAAACAGTGAATAAGAATTTATATTAAAATAGGAAACCATGCATGTCTTGGACATCTCAAAACCTTCTCCCCCAGCCCCACCAAAAAAAAAGAAAAGAACATGCTATTGGTTTTTAAAATAATACGTGCTTATGATTAAATTTAATTGAGAACATGCAAAAATTATCACATTATAAAGAGGAAATTAGAAATCGCCCATAGTTCTACTAATCAGAAATAGTTACCATTAGCAGTTTAGTATATTTTCTTCTAGACCAGGAGTGAGCAAACAGCAGCCTTTGGGCCAAATTGGGCCTGCTACCTGTTTCTGTAAATAAAGTTTTATTGGAACTCAGCCGCACTCATTCTTCCACACACTATGACTACTTTCAAACTACAGTGGCAGAGTTGAGTACTTGTGACAGAGACTGAATGGCCGCAAAGCCTGAAAAATTTACTCTATGGTCCTTTTCAGAATAAGTTTGCCCACCTCTGGTCTAAACCTTTTCTTATGCAGATGTACACATATTAATTAAAATTCAAAACTGACTTCATGACATATGTTCTGTTTTGAAACTACTTTATTCACGCAGCAGTTCACTTAGCATATTCCATGTCAGTACATCTAAATCAATATCATCTTTCAGTTGACTGTATGGTGTTTTATATGGATAGGGAATGATATACTTAGCTAATTCTCTACTGTAAGACATTTGGGCTATTTCAAATTTTGATATTTTAATCAATGATATCGTACATATCCTTAGATAGAAATCTTACCATGCTCTTCAAATGATTTCCTTAAGACACATTTCCTAAAAGTGGGATTAATTGGACAGATTGTATGCATATTTCAAATTTTTCTTGACACATCTTTAAAAGCAGAGGCACTTTCTTGTGGTGCATATTCATTCAGCCAGTATTTAAAGAATGCTTTCCAATGTCGAGTATAGTATCACTGTTGATGATGGATTGTTAAATGAGAAAAGCTGGTTTACAAACCAGTCATGCTCTTGCCATCCCTGCAAAGAATGTTTATAAGCAAATATTTATGAGAGAAAACCTAAGAGGACATACATGAAAATGTTAACAGTGGTTGTCTTGGGTAAGATTATTGATGATATGTATGTTTTTTCTTCGTATTTTCTACCTTTAACAAAAAGAAAATATGTTTTAAAAAGTTATGGATCATTTGCTTAACTTTAAAGCAGAAACAAAACCAGAACTACCCCCAAAACATGTTGAGTCACTTCTAAGAGTCACTCTTTTGTTAACTCTCCTTTTCATGTCACATATTCTTGTCGATTCTAGTGATTGATCAAAGGACAGCTCTTCACTTTCCCTCATCCCTTGGACACCCTGTTTTATCCCATCCTGTTTGGCTTTTCTCACACCTGCAACCACAGACCTATCTGAGTTTGTGTAAGGTTTTCTGAAAAAATGTTCCTTCTTGTCGTGTGGCCGTTTGTCCATCTCCATGTGCTTGCCTTGTAGGTGGGCACTTCCTCTGTGGTGTACCCAGCAGCCATGTTTGCCCCCCAGGTGGCTGCCAGGGGCGTGCCAGTGGCGGAATTTAATATGGAGACCACCCCAGCTACGAACAGATTCAGGTACTGGGATACCCTGATGGGAGAGGGCGATGTGGGAGGCAGGTGCAGACATAGTCATCTAAACATAGTTGACCTACTCCTCTAATTTTTAAAAAAGACACAGGGTTTGTGTTTTTTTGTTTCATCTGCAGTTGCTTTTATGGAAGAACAAAATCATTCACTGTAGACTAAGGTAGGGTAGCTCTGTCATTGTACATGACATTTGCCGTGGGACTTTTGTTTGTTCACATTTTGAAAGCTCTTCTTTGATTCCTTAGGCTTTGCTTTCCCTTACATTTTTAAGCTAGACTTAGTGATGGCCTTTAGTTGTAGGTTACCCAGATGCTCCGCAAGTAAGCCTGGGAGATGCCCTTGCAGAACCTCATCACCTGCCGTTCTCACTGGGAGGCCACCTGGCAGATTCCCCTTTGGTCTAATCGCCAAGGTTATCTGTATCTGTGGCCATATTTTGACACTGATCCTGCTTCCCAAGTTTGGGTGGGAAGTGTAGATTGTCATAGTATGCATTTTTAGTCTTATTCCTGAGTCTGTTTTATGTCTTCACCCTTCTGTCTTTTTTCTCACTCCAACATTTTTTGCCTTTACTTCTTATTCTTGTCCATCTAGTTAATTCCTTTTGAATAAGTTAGACTATAAATAAGCAGTAAATGAATATAAATGAATAAAATAGAAAACTTCATTGAAACATCTTGTCATTACTTTAATCAGCAGTTTCCAACCTTGGCTGCATATTTTAAAAATACTGATGCCTGGGGGCCACTTCATGAAATTTCAGTGTCATTGCTCTGAGTTGCAGCCCAGACATCATCATTTGATAAGCTTCCTAGGTGATTCCAGTGTGCAGCCAGGATAGGAACCACTCTTCAAAGTCTTTGCTGGGATTTAAAAAAAAAAGGAAAAAAGAAAAGGGGCCACAGACACTTAAGTAGGCCCCTCCTCAGGTGAGTGAACTGGCTCTGGGCCTCTTCTTTTCCATGTATCTTTTTGATCAGCTACAGCCTGTGTTCTTGATCCATAGTTCTTCATTTGTGTGTGAGTAGTAGGAACTAAGAAGATAGCCTTAAAAAAAAATTGCCTCCTATGCTAAAGTTATACTTTGAAAACTACAGAACATTGCTGAAAGAAATAAAGAAGGCCTAAATGAATGGAAACATATCCAATGTTCATGGATTGGACAACTTAATATGATTAAGATGGCAATGCTCACCAAATTGATCTATGGGCTCAATCAACTCAGTCCTTATCAAAATCACAACTGGCTTTTTACAACAATTAATTGAAAAGATTACTCTAAAATTCATATGAAAATGCAAGTGACCCAAAATAGCCAAAACAAAATGAAAAATGAAGTTGGAGAACTCATACTTCCCAGTTTCAAAACTTACTACATATTAGCTGGGCATGGTGGCACATGCCTATAATCCTAGCTACTTGGGAGGCTGAGGCAGGAGAATCAGTTGAACCTGGGAGGTGGAGGTTGCGGTGAGCCGAGATTGCGCCATTGCACTCCAGCCTGGGCAACAAGAGCAAAACTCCATCAAAAGAAAAAAAAAAAACCTTACTACAAAGTTGCAGTAATCAAGATGGTGTGGCACTGGCATAGGATAGATATATAGAATCAGTGGAATAGAATTGAGAGTCCAGTAAAAAACAAAACAGAACAATAAAACAAAACCTCACGTTCATGGTCAGTTGATGTTTGAGAAGAGTGGCAAGACAATTTGATGAAATACAGTCTTTTTTAAGAAATAGTGCTGGATATCCACATGCAAAAGAATGAGCTTGGACCCCTCTGTCACACCATACCAAAAAATAACCCAAGATGGATCATAGACCTAAATGTAAGAACTAAAAGTATAACATGTCAAAAGAAAATGTAGGAGTAAATCTTTGTAACCTTGGGTTAGTGAAAGCTTTCTTAGATATGACACCAAAAGTGCAAGTAACATAAGAAAAAAGGATAAATTGGACTTTATCAAAATTTAAAACTTTTATACTCCAATGGGTACCGTTAAGTAAAAAGACAACCCATAGAATGGGAGAAAATATTTGTAAGTCTAATATTTGATATTTGATAAGGGATTTGTATCCAGGATATATAAAGAACTCTTACAACTATAAATAATAAAAAGACAATCCAATTAAAAACCAGGTCAAAATATTTGAAACGACATTTCTCCAAATATATACACATGGCCAATAAGCATACTGAAATTATGTTCAATATCATAAAACCACAACGAAATATCATCACTTCACAGCTACAAGCGTGGCTATAATTTTTAAGATAAAGGAAAATCACAAGTGTTGGTGAAGAAACTGGAACCCTTATACATGGCTGATGGGAATGTACAATGGGGCAGTCATTTTAGAAAACAATGTGGCAGTTAAATATAGAGTTACTATGTGATCTAGCAATTCTACTCCTTGGTATATAGTCCTAGAAATGAAATCACATCTACACAAAAATTTGTACACAAATGTTCATAGCAACTTGTTAATGGAAAAAGTGGAAACAACCCAAATGTCCATCGACTGAAGGATGAATAAATAAAATTTGGTATGTTTGTACAATGGATTATATTTTAGCCGTAAAAAGAATGAGGTATCCGTATATGCTACTACATGGATGACCCTTGAAAATGTTATGCTAAGTGAAAGAAGCTAGTCATAAAAGACCACATATGGTATGACTTCATTTATATGAAATATCCAGAATAGGCAGATCAATAGAGAGAAGGTAGATGAGTGGGAGTAGATGAGTCGAGAAGATTTTGGCTAGGAGTAGGGAGGAATGGGGAGTGGGTGCTAATGAGAACAAGTTTCTTAGAGGTTGTTAAAAATGCTCTAAAGTCTATTGTGGTGATGGCCGTATAATTCTGTGAATACACTAAAAGCCACTGAATTATATATTTGAAATAGGTGGATTGTATGTGAATCAAATCTCAATAAAGCTGTTATATAAAAAAATTAAATTATCTTCTAACTTATCTCCTGAAAAATGCCCATTAGGCCTCCCTCTGATTTGTGTTGTGGCACCTATGTGTAGCAGCTGGGCCACTTAGCATGACTAAGAGTAGTAATACCAGAGCTAGGTAGTTCAAGCCTCCTGTCTGTTTGAAAGACCATCAGAAAACTCGAAGAGTGGGACAGGATGAACTTTGTGAAGCAGGACATGAGCTATGTCCCCAGTTTGGCTCTTCTAATACGGTTTCTTTTCAGTCATTTGATCTCTGTCTCATCTCTAATTATTATAAAGAATTAAAACAAATCATCATTGTAGAAAAGCAAGAAAATGCAGATAGAGAAAAAGAAGAAAATAAAACTGGAGTATTTCCACAACCCAGGTTTAGAGTTGGCCCCCACCTCCTGTGCCATGGACTGACCAGCAGGGGCCCAGCATCCCTTGCATATGGTGGCTGTGTCTTCATGTGAAAGAAACTAAACTTGGTGGTTTTTCCTGCCAGTTCAGAAGAGATTCTTGGCATGTAATATATATCACTGCACAAGTCAAGCCTCCTAAAACCACAGGCCTGTTTCAGCTGCTACTTCAGCCAAAATTCTTCAGCTTCATATTGTCTTGAAAACCTATGATTGTCTCTGACAAACAGGCTACTTGCCAGTTAGAAATTCTTATCAATTTGACAAGCTCCTTATCAACCAGACTGATCACAGGAACTGTCATCTGATCAATGAAGGAGTAACTGATCGATGAAGCCAGCAATGCTTTTTTCTTGGCATCATGAAAGCAGACATTTAGAAGAGATGCTGGTGATAGTCATCTCATTCTACTCAATTTTTCAAAGGCACAAACCGACCCTGGAGCAACTAAGAGGACTGTTTAAACACAGAGCTTAACAATGGCAGAATTTTATATCTCATGCTTAACAGATTTTGGTTGAACTTTACCCTAGGTCAGGGGTCAAACTACTGCCTGTGGGCCAAATTTGCCCACCACCTGTATCTGTAAATAAGGTTTCATTGGAACACAGCTGTGGCCCTATGTTTGTATATTGTGTGTGGCTGCTTTTGCACTAGGATGACAGAGGTGAATAGTTGTAGCAGAGACTGGCTGGTCTGCAAAGCCTAAAATCTGTCCTGTGTGGCCCTTTACAGAAAAAGTTTTCTAACCCCTGCTGTAGGTTAATGAGAAAAAAAAAATGGAATAATGTTCCCTGCTACTTTTAACCTGATTTTCTTTGTTACCTAAATAGGCAGCTAGAATGCTGCCTATATTTTGATAAGGATTTGGATCTCACAAAACACCTTAGGCCTTGCACAAGTTGTTCAGATTCTTTGCCCCAGTTCTAATCCAGAGACAAAGGCATAGAATTCTCCTCCCACAGGAATGTATTTATATTTTCAAGGTGTTAATTAGTTCCAGTTTTGGTTTTGTCATTTTCCCCATGCCCGATGCTTGTATTGGATGATTTCTGATAAACCCTGACTATCCCAGTAAACCCTAGGCATTTTTGAATTTAAACCTCAGTGTTTTGACTGTTAACCCCAGGGGGCCTTATCTTGTTGGGATTTGTACATTCGCTGAGGCAAAAATGGGACTGTCGCTGCAGGGAGCTGGTAGGCAGGGCCTTCAAAGCACCTTCTGGCCACCGTGCCCTGCAGCCACTATGTTGTGCCCTGTTGATCTTTGAATTTCTCTAAACATTGGAATTTAATCAAAGTCCACAAATATTTATAAGTATCCACTATGTACCAGACACTGTTCTAAGTGCTTAGGATAGGATATAGCAGTAAACAAAACAAAAATCTCCCAAGGGAAGATTGTATTCTAGTGGTGGAGGCAGACAGGTAAGCAGTGAACATAAGGTGCACATTCTACAGCATGTGAGCAGGTGCTAAGAGACTGCACAAAGCAAAGATGGAGTTGTATGTGAGGGGGTTGGGCTGACAGGTTGCAGGATCCAGTTGGGTGGACCACAAACCTCATTAAGAAGAGATTTGAGCAAAGACTTCAAGGAGGTGGAGGAGGCAGCCAAAGAGGTGATCTGGGATAAGACCTTTCCAGACAGTGGGACCACCTGGAGCGGAGGCCCCTCAGTGTGGCTGGAGTGGAGTGAGGAAGAAGTTCCAGGAGAGGCGAGCAGTAAAGTAATGGAGTTGGGGGCCCTGGGGAGGGAAGACACCCAAGCTATCTGCTGGTGGAGTTTAGAAGTCTAAGGAATTGTTAGGTAAGAGAGTTTTATAGATTGTTGTGGTTATATAGTTACCTATCTAGGGTGTGAAGAGGTCACTGCTTTGAAGTGATCGTTGACCGTGTGTGTTAGGGAGGTCTAGCGCTCTCCCTGGCTGTGCTGTCAAGGGCAAGTAGGGAAGCCCTCTAGTCTATGCAGTCAGGGCTTAGTTGGTCTGTTCATTCAAAAAGCCACTGAAAACAAGACTAATAGAAAAGGGCACATACATACTTTAAACATTTTGATTTAAAGCATAAATGTACCTTCATTTCCTTTTTCTTTTTTTCTTTTTTGAGACAGTCTTGCTCTGTTGCCCAGGTTGGAGTGCAGTGGCACAATCTCGGTTTACTGGAATCTGTGCCTCCCGGGCTCAAGCAATCCTCCCACCTAAGCCTCCCGAGTAGCTGGGATTACAGGCGTGCACCACCACACCTGGCTAATTTTTGTATTTTTAGTAGAGATGGGATTTCACCATGTTGGACAGACAGGTCTCAACCTCCTGGCCTCAAGTGATCCATCTGCCTCGGCCTCCCGAAGTGCTGGGATTACAGGCGTGAGCCACCGCACTTGGCCTGCTTATTTTTTTATTTTTATTTTTTGGAATAGAGCTAAAGGCCTTTTGTTTTGAGTAGGGATCTGCTGATTGGAGCTCACCTTTCTTACATAAATCGTATCCATAATCTTCCTCGTGTTCCCCAAATATCCCTGAAGATATGAATGACTCCAGCCCTTATTTTATTAAAAAAAACAAAAACAAAAACAAAAACAGACAACCAGGAAAATCAGATCCCAAGACCCCCACCTAGACTTCCTGAATCAGAATTTCCAGGGGGAGATGCCTGTTTATGTAGCTAGCAAATGACCCAGGTGATTCTTATCAAGAAACCTTGGCAAACACTGGATTACAACTTCTGTTTTTTGATATTTGTCTGTTTTGTTTTGTTTTTTTCTTTTAAAGGAGAGCAAGAACTTAGGAAAAGAAACATGTGAAGCTGTCTTCCCCCGTCTTTTACACCTACACCTAATTTAACAGAATTATATTTAGTGACTCAGTATGTCTTTCCCAAGCATTCAGCTAGTTTTCCTAGAAATAACTCTCTTTTAACAGCTCTATTTTTGCAGTTTATTACATAATTTTAAATTCAGCGAGATGATTACATTAACCAATAAAAGTGGCATGAGCAGATGTGGAACTAACACTGTAGTCTTGGTTGTCCTGCAACTGGTGGGGGCAGGCAAAGTGCACAGATGTGCTAGAAAAGAGGCTTTCAAACAATGTTCATGTATGCCTTTCACATTTTACAAGTTGACATCTAAGGTTTTTTAAATCAAAAATATTACAGTTGGAGATGTCATTCCAAGTGCATTGGAAACACTGACTATTTATTTATTTACTTATTTATTTATTTTTATTTATTTATTTTTGAGACAGAGTCTGGCTCTGTTGCCCAGGCTGGACTGCAGTGGCACGATCTCAACTCACTGCAACCTCTGTCTCCCTGGTTCAAGCAATTCTCCTGCCTCAGCCTCCTGAGTAGCTAGGACCATAGGCGTGCACCACCACACCCGGCTAATTTTTTGTATTTTTTTAGTAGAGATGGGTTTTCACCACGTTGCCCAGGCTGGTCTAAAACTACTGACATCAGGCAATCTGCCTAGCTCAACCTCCCAAAAGTGCTGGGATTACAGGCATGAGCCACTGCGCATGGCCAAAACACTGACATTTTAAAATAAAAGCTACCATATCATGGTTTTAAATGTATGCAGTCCAATCTGAATGTTATAATTATCTGGTACACACCACCATCCATTTACAAAATAAATATACAGCCCTTCCTTAACAATTGGAAATTTCACATTTTTTCTTTTCTCTTTGAACTTGTATTTCCATTCTATCACTACTACAGAATTTATACTAACATAATATGTGTTTATGCATGAAAATCTTTTACTGGCCAGGTGCAGTGGCTCATGCCTGTAATCCCAGCCCTTTGGGAGGCTGAGGCGGGAGGATCACTTGAGGCCAGGAGTTCGGGACCAGCCTGGCCAACATGGCAAAACCCCATCTCTACTAAAAATACAAAAATTAGCCAGGCGTGGTGGTCCACAACTGTAATCCCAGCTACTCAGGAAGCTGAGGTGGGAGAATCCCTAAAGCCTGGGAGGCAGAAGTTGCAGTGAGCCGAGATCGTGCCACTGCACTCCAGCGTGGATGACAGAGTGAGACTCTGTCTTAAAAAAAAAAAAAAAAAAAAAAAAATCTTTTACTGACTATCCTATTATACCTCTACAGCAAAATATCATATGAATTATTTAATTTTTTCAAATTCCTTAAAATGTTAAAAAATGTTTTACTAAAAACCTTCTAGATAGAATTATCACTATAGTAATCTGCAGTGCATAATTTTAAAAACAAAAACTATATATAAGTTTAGATTAATAATTCTAAACAAGTAAAATTTTATTGGAAATTCTTTTTTTTTTTTTTTTTTGAGATGGAGTTTTACT